TGATGTTGTATGTCGGCTTGGCTAGGCCATGATTCCCAGTATTATGTGACGGTCTTCCATTTTGTGATCTGATGTAATTATCCTAATTATCCATTTTGTGTTGTAAATCCTAATCTGTATATGTTAATGAGGCAAGATTAGTGTGCGGTGTATCTTGAGTCACAGCCTTGCAGGAGGGCATGACTCAAGTCCTACCCTTACTCAAATCATGCTCTTTCCTGGGGTGTGGGCTGCATCCAGTGTATATATGGTACTCTGGCAAGGTTCTCTCGCTCTCTGCATCTGGATCCTGCGTCCATCTTGTTATTGTCCGACCTCTGGTTCTTGGGACTTGACCCAGCAGCCTGGTGTCTATCCTGCCGATTCCGAGATTTGCCAGCTTCCCAGCCCCATGGGCTGGCAGCCTGTTGTCTGACCTGATTTGCCAGCTTCTGCAGCCTTGTGCGCCAGCAGCCTGTCATCTGGCCTGATGATTTGGGTTCATTGGCCTCTTTGGCCATGTGAGTCAGGAGAAGCCTACGCCTGGCCCACGGATTTGGGACTTGCCAGCCTCCACAACCACGTGAGCCATTTCCTTGATACAGTTCGTGAGTTCTGAGAGATGTTGCAGCGCATTACGGAACCCAAAGATGGGAGGGAGAGTTCTGAGGGGAGGAGGAGTAGTTGATGTTAGAGATGATGGAGTGGTGCAGCAATTTGGAAAAGTTGGTCATTTGGGACATCTTTAACCTCCACCTCATGGGAACCAGCTTTGTGCTGATCCTTATAAATTATTCACTTAAATCTCTATGAGGCAACTGATGTTATTTCTCTATACTGAAAAAATATATGACGTATACAGAGGTATTTTTTTCCCTATAGTTTAGAAAGATGTAATATTATATGCATTACATTGTTTATCCCCCCTCTTAAATTATGGCCATCCTTCCATATCAACAAGTTCTGAACTATGTTTAACAGCAGCATAATATTCCATCAATACCTAATTCCCTTACTTAGGGACATGCAGGTAGCTTCCCTTGTTTCCCGCTACAAGCAATGCTACAATGAATCTCTTGACACCTATATCCTTATTGCTAAGTTTTTTGTAGGCTAGATTTCCAAAGTAGGATTACTATGTTTAAGACTGGGTACATTTAAAGTTTTGACATTGCCAAATACTTTCAAAAAGGATGTAGCAATTTAAACCATCACCAGCAATATGCGAGTGTACCAACAATAGATGATACACATCTTTTAATTTTTGCCAGTCTTAGGGGTGAAAAATGTTCTCTTGTCATTGCATTTTCCCTCCTGTCAGGGAGATTTCATGTTCGTTGGTCATTTGCACTACCTTTCCTATAAATTTTCCTGTTGGCATCTGTTGTGGATTGAATTGTGTCCCCTCCAAAAATGTGTCAACTTGACTAGGCCATTATTCCCAGTATTGTGTGATTGTCCACCATTTTGTCACCTATGTGACTTTCCTATGTGGTGTAAATCCTACCTCTCTGATGTTAATGAGGCAGGACTCAATCTACAAGATTAGGTTGTGTTTTAAGTCAATCTCTTTTGAGATATAAAAGCGAGAAGCAAGCAGACAGACAGGGGGACCTCATACCAGAAGAAAGCAGTGCTGGGAGCAGAGCGCGCCCTTTGGACTCGGGGTTTCTGCGTGGAGAAGCTTCTAGACCAAGGTAAGATTGATGCCAAGGACCTTCCTCCAGAGCCTGGAGACAGCGCCCTGAATTCAGATTTCTAGCCTGCTAGACTAAGAGAATAAACTTCTGTTTGTTAAAGCCATCCACTTGTGGTATTTCTGTTATAGCAGCGCTAGATAAGTAAGACAACATCCTTGGCTAATTTTTCTCATTTTTTTTTCTTATCAATTTGTAGTTCTTTGTACAGTACAGATATTAACTCTTTGTTGTTGTTGTTAGGTGCGGTCAAGTCAATTTTCGACTCATAGCAACCCCACGTGACAGAGTAGAACTTCTCCATAGGGTTTCCTAGGCTATAATTTTTATGGAAGCGTATTGCCAGGTCTTTCTTCTGCGGAGCCACTCAGTGAGTTCAAACCACCATCTTAACTGTTGCACCACGAGGACTCCTTAAGTCTTTAGACTCCCAACTTTATATCTTCAGCCCATTTCTCTCCCTTGAACTCTAGACAGTGGTGTCAGTAGGGGGGTTTACGGGGTGTGGACCACAGTGGGTGACACTATCAGAGGGGGTGACACCAAAATGACTGTCTTTAAAATTTTTGTGCAGTGTTTCAGCAGAAATGTATTATTTTTTATAAAAATATATCTGTAGTTAGTTATAACAATAAAAACATTTTTTGTAAGCCCAGCTTACATGTACCAATATACCTACAAGGCTAAAACTCTATGCTAATTTACTTTTTGAACCTTCTGATGGGCTCCGGTCAGAGCTGTCGTTATTACCCAATTACAACGATGCTTTGAATAACATGGTATCGTCTGCATGTGCTACAAGCTCCGGCTGCTGTTTTCATTGCTGCCAGTGTTTTTATATTCACTGATTTTGTCAAATTTTCTGGTGTTTTGGCTCCAATAAGGAGCCCTGGTGGCGTAGTGGCGAAGCGCTGGGCTGCTAACCGAAATATTGGTGGTTTGAACCCACCAGCTGCTCAGCGGAAGAAGGATGTGGTAGTCTGCTTCCATAAAAATTACAGCCTTGGAAACCCTATGGGGCAGTTCTACTCTGTCCTATAGGGTTGCTATGTGTTGGAACTGACTCGACGGCTACGAGTGGGTCTGGTTTTGGCTACAATATTGTTATAATTAGCGTGGGGGTGTGACACCACGAGTTAGGGCACTAGATGCCACCACCCCTGGTGATGCCACTGACTCTAGATACAAATCTAATTGCCTATTGAGGCATCTCAAACTTATGTCCAGAACTGAATTTCTCATCTTCCACAGAAAATCTGCTTCTCCTGTGATGTTCCCCATCTCAGTCAACAGCAACTCCATCCTTCCAGTTGCTCAGGCTAAAAACTTGGTCGTCATCCTGGACTCTTCTCTTTCTCCCATGACCCACATCTAATTGCAAGCTGTGTTAGCTTTACTGTCAAACTACAGTACATCAAACTATATCCAAATCTGACCACTTCTCACAAAGTCTACTTCGACCACTGTGATCCATGTCACAGTTATCTCCCTCCTGGAATTTTGTAGTAGCAGTAACTGTTATGGGCAGACCATTGTTCTCCCTGCTTCTGAAAAGCAGCCAGAATACTCTTAAAACAATGACACATAAGTCAGGTCAGATCAATCCCTCTGCTCATGCCTGCCTCAGACTTCAGCCTCACTTAAAGGGAAAGCCAAAGTCATTTCAGTGTTTCACAACGTACTACACGCCTCCCTCCTTGGACGCTTCAGATTTTGACCTTCTGCTTTCCTTGTTATTTACTCTGTTCCAGGCTCCAGCCATGCTCTTTTTTAGTCCTTGAACTACCCAGACATGCTTCTGCCCGGGACTTTTTGACTGGAATGCTCTTCTCCTAGACTTCTATCTGCCTGATTTGCTCCCTCCATTACTATATGTTTTACTTATTTGTCTGTTTCTCCCTACTAGAATATAAGCTCCAAGAAGTCAGGAATTTCTGTCATTTTTTTGTTCACTGCTATATTCTCATTGCAGCCCACATGGTAGGTGCTCACTTTGAATTTGTTGAATGAAATATAGGCAAGGATTTCCTGTAGTTAAGCAGCTTTGTTTTTGATGTCTTCTGCCATGCACAAATGTTTATCTACATACTCAAACCTATACTTTTTTAAATTTGCCTTGTTTCATGGTTTTTTAAGGCTCAATTTTGGCCCCCTCGAGGGCTGTTGTTTTCATCTCATTTTCTATTTTATTAAACTTCTTATTTTGGAAAATCTTAAACATACACAAAGGAGAATCATCTCATTATTTCTCGGTTTGAAATTCCGTAAGGGCAGAAACAGGCTCTGATTTTACACTGTCTCTAGCGTCTGCTAGGGCCTAAGCAACCTCAGGAATATGTTTGCAAAGAATGAATTCATGGCATGAGGGCTTCTCTGGGGCATATGCCGCCCAACGCAGTCCCGGGGGCGGCACTTCCGGGAGCCGTTTGCCGACTGAAGGCGTTCGTCCTGCACTCTCCCGCCAGGCCTGGCCTTTCCGGGGACACTCCCGCTGCCACCTTCCGGCGCGGGTATGACCACAGCTGCCAGAATGGGAGGAGCCCTGACTTAAACTGAACAGTTTTTCCTCGCGGCCCACTGGTCGGCCCCACCCGAGCGAGAGGCCGCCTCTCAAACTAGGCCTCTGACCGCCGGCGCAGCCCGCGCGAACTCCCCGTCCCCGTCCCCCACACTTCCCCCCTCCCTCCTCGACAGTGGCGGTTGGTCGCGCACCGTCGTCTCTCTCCCACCCCCTCCGCTAACGAGCGGGCTCCAGGCCCTCTGGGATTGGCTGCGCCAGAGGGCATCTCCCTCTAGCTTCTCTGATTGGCTGACAGCCCAGCGGGATGCGGGTCCCGATTGGCTGGATCAGCGCGCCTGCGCGGCGGGGTTCTCGGTCGCCAGCCATTCCTGGGGAGGACTGCCGGTCGGCCGGACGTCTCGCTTCTCTCTGGAGGAGAGGTCTTGGCTTTCCGGGAAGGCGGCGGTAAAATGAAGATATTCGTGGGCAATGTCGACGGGGCCGATACGACACCGGAGGAGCTGGCAGCCCTGTTCGCGCCCTACGGCACGGTCATGAGCTGCGCCGTCATGAAACAGTTCGCGTTCGTGCACATGCGCGAGAACGCGGGCGCGTTGCGCGCCATCGAGGCCTTGCACGGCCACGAGCTGCGGCCGGGGCGCGCGCTCGTGGTGGAGATGTCGCGCCCACGGCCGCTTAACACTTGGAAGATTTTCGTGGGCAATGTGTCGGCTGCGTGCACGAGCCAGGAACTGCGCAGCCTCTTCGAGCGCCGCGGACGCGTCATCGAGTGTGACGTGGTGAAAGGTAACGCGGGGGCGCGCTCGGGGCGGGCGCGCGCGGGCACTGCTTGTTAGCCACGCCCCTGTCCCGGGGGTCCGCCACTGCGCTGTGGGGGGGGCCCGCGGGAGCGAGGCCGGAGGTGTTGGGGCGCGTTGGGCAGAGCCCCCCTCCTTCCTGCGGCCCAGGCACCATTTACCCCGCGGGAGGAAGCGGCTCTGGGGGGGCGCGGCGGCCGCTGCGAGCCGAGCTGCGGGGCCGGGGACGCGCCTGCGAGACTTGCGAGGGTTCCGGGGCGCGCCTTCCCGTCGTCTCCCGGGCCGGGCACCGAGCGGAAATTGGGAAGTGACGGGCACGAGCCGGATCATGGAGCGGGGAAGATTTCTCCACTTCCCCACTTCCTCTGCAGACGTCGGTCAGAGCAAGGGAAGAGGGAAAAGGTGGGGGCTCACGCCCCAAGGCCGCCCTCGCGTTCCCTCCCGATGAATGCTCCCGAGCCGAAGGTAACGGGGCCCTTGGACGTTTCTCGGGCTGGGATCTGTTAGTATTGTGTGGTCTGGGTCTACCAGAACAGTTACTCGCGGGTATAGGAGGGGCCCCTTCCGAACCACCTTGGCCTTTGACTGTTGTTAGGTGAGTTAGACGTGGCAGGTACGCGCTTTCCAAACCCTCAACCGTGGGTTTTTTCTCTTTGGGCTCGATTCTACAAGTTGGAAACCCCGATCATTCACATGTGGAAGGAGGTTTGTTTTAGGAGGGCCCTTTCTCTGTGCCAAGCCCGTGCCCCAGGGCGGTGCCCCCGGTCTAGTCTTCCGTTTATAAGCTTGGTAACTTTGCAAAGGGCACAGTCTGTGTCTGGGGGGAACCTCGGGGGGGGCGTGCGATAGGGCTTCGTTAAACATTGGCTAAACATGATTTACTTACTAGTGGTCATTGCTTGAGTAACCTAATCCTCCGGTTTAGGTCCCTAGTTTGCCTTTTTTCCTAAAAAAATGTGTCGCCATAATTTAGGCCTGGCTTCTTTTTTGGGACCCAGTTGTCTTTTTTCATAGTCTGGGTTCTTTTACCCTGAGGGCGCCTTTTTTTTTTTTTTTGAATTGCTGGCAAGATTTGGTGGCACAGCCCTTGTGTACGTGGTCAGCCTCCATTCCACTGGGAACAGATCAGAGTTAACTTTGCCCTGCCAGCTTCAAGGACGCAACCTGGGAGTATCTGCTGCCCTGTTCCTGGTGTTGGAGTCGTACCTGCTGACACACTGTGTGAGAAGTTTCGAGGATAGGAGATAAATGTGGGTGCAGGTGCCTCTTCCTACCGAGGTACTTCATTTGCTGTCCTGGAAAGGCACATCTTTTGGGCCATTCCTTGTCCTTTCTGTCAGTGGGGGAAGTGTAAAAAGTTCTTGTCTCTGCTAGGATGGGTTCCTTGTTCTGCATTAATGCTGCATTCTATTTCCCTCAACTCAGGTTATGTGAGTCCATGGCTATCCGGAGTCGGGCTTTCCTGCTGGCTGCTCTGAGGCAGACTGTAGAGTGCTTGGATTTTTGCTTTTGTTAATTTTTTTTTCTTTTGAGTAAGAGTGGGAAGGGCTTCATTTAGATTGGGCACTTGGCTAGGAAATGAATGGTGTCTGTGACTCTTAATTAGTGTTCTCTCTTTAATCGGCCTGCTAAGTTTCTTTTGTGGTTTTCAGGCAGGGTGATTAGTAGATTGGGAGACTAGAATCCAGCATTTGAGGGCAGTCTCCATGGAGTTCATGTGGTGAAGAAGCTTGTTTTCAGGTGGTAGAGAAAGCTGGGCATTTGCCTGAGTTTGCTTAGGGCCGACACCAAGTGATGGGGTGAAGTGCATGCTTGTGCGTGGTTTCTAGGCCTCCTGGCTGACTCCCTGTGGGAACTAGAGGGAAGTTTTGTGCATCTTGCCTCTGAGCGCTTGAGTGTGCAAAATGCACTGACTTCCTCAGGGTGGAGTGATGTTGAACTGTTGTTTGTAGCCATGCTGGAGTGTATTACAGCTCCTGATATACTTTGACGATGGGAAAGATTGGGGCATCCCGTTCTTCACTGACGCCTTTCTGTCTCTTCAGGGTGAAGGAAAGTGAGGTTTTTAAGTTGAGAATGCAGTGAAAAAGGCTGACCATCACTCTTATCAGTTCTTGGGCTGAGAATGGGCATTTGATTTAGTGTTGACTGTTAGGTCTTTGAAAAGCACAGAAGTTTGGCACTGAACAGGACAACCAGTTCTGTTTTATTTCCTAGGAAAAAAACATTGTTGCTTGGTTACCCCAGCAACTTAGATATGATTTGATTTGTAGAGAAAAATCTCCATAGCAACAGCAGGTTGTAACCACTCTCCACAGCTACATTCTGTTGGGTATTCGAAAATGAAGTACGAGAGTCACTGGCAGCTTCAGGAACCATTTCAGATTTCATGGGAGGTCTGAAAAGCAGAGGAGGAAAATGTCTCCTCTGCCTTTTTTTGTGGGTGGCCATTCTTCCCTCCTATACAGAGCTTTGTAGTTTCAAGTTAGAACTTTTTATTCTTTTTGGGATAGGAAAGCTCATTTTACTGGACTCTCTTAACTTTGGTGCTGGGGGAATTGTGATGCCATCAGACCATTAGATCTTTGCAAAATATTGCTTGCTAGTCCCTTTAAATGCATCGGGTTTCTTTCAGAGATTACTTTCTTGAACCTGATCTGTAGGCATGTGGGTCACGGGAGTTCTCTGGATCCCTGGTTTTTCTTCATTCTTCTAGGAGTAGTAAGGTTCCTGAGCATCGTTGATTGCACCTTAAGGGATAGTTGATCATCTACGGCTGAGTTTGGCTATTCCCCATCATGGCACTTAGCCCTGATATCATGGAGTCAGTTGGACAACCTATTCACATTTCCCTCCAAAGTCAGGCTTAGGAACTTCCTGATAGAATTGTATCAGATTACTTTGGTGGGGGGGTGTTATACATACAGTTCATCTGGGTGGTCAGTTGAGTTGTACATGTGAAATCTTAATTTTCAAACTATTTCATCACTTGGTCTCTTAATAAAACTCCGCTCAGTAGGGAATAGATGGCGAGATGTCCTGTTGCTCTTGTAAACTCACTGAAATTTTTTTGGATGTTTTTTCCTAGCTCATTGTAGTCTCAGGAATATAGTATGGTTCCTTAATATTGTTTGAGTGCCTGGAGCTTCCTTGTCCCCTTTTCTTAATCTGCCTACAAGTTTCTGCAAATCTTTCTGTTTTCTGTTTACTTTGAATGGGCCTGCCGCCTTGCCATTGCTGTCCAGGTGGTATTGCTGGTTCCCTGAGTGTCAGCTCAGCCTCTGCTGTTCAGGAGATCTCAGACCACCAGCACTTGTTTTAAGCTCACTCCACCCAAGGTAGAGATGAGAGCTTAGAGGACAGGTCTAGTGCCCTGTGGCTTGGCTGAAGGAACACTTAAGCTTGGCATAGTTGATAGATAAGGAATCAGGTTTTGGCTGTGGGGTGTGAGGACAGAGTTGTGATAGTTCATTTTGTTAGTCTGGCAAGTTCCAGGTTTGCATGTACAGATGGCATTATGTCTCTAGTGTTTTATTAGAGGCAAGAAATAATATTCTGTAGGGAATAAGCCTCTGGTTATTCCTGGAGTTCTGTAGTGTCCCTTACTGTTATATAGCTATTTATATTTTCCAAGGTACTTTTGTCTTTTTATTTGAATCTCCTAACACTGAGGTAGGTAGGACAGATTTTTCAGATAGGGAAATAAATTTTAAGTTCCTCAAAATCTTACAGCAAGTCAGTGATACAAACCTGGACCTAGAACTGAAGCCTGTTAACTCCTAGCCCAGGATCCCTTCTATGTCACACTTCTGACTTAGCCTCGCTGACTGTTTCTGTTCCTGTTAGTGTGAGGGTGTGAGCTGGTGGCATAGCTCTCAGGTCCAGAGAAATGACTTGCTGTGTAGGAGTGGCTAGCGAGTACATCCCAGTATGAAAGTTTCTAGAAAAGAGGACACTTGTTTGGAGGCTATTAAAAGGATTTCTGCTCTTCAAGAATGCAACCTGAATAATTTTATCCAGGTAGTTGTTCATTTTGTAAAGCCGATCTTTAATGAGAGAGACGGGATCCTGGTACTTGGTCTCCATCTTCAGGTAGTCATGGGTCCAGAATGGGGTCAGGTGCATGACCTTATGTCCCATGAGCATGAACCTCCCATTGTTCCTCAGATCTTCTTTGCACCATTGTGGTGTGTGAGTATGGAAGTAAACAATTTCTTCCAGCTCCTCCCTGTCCTAAAGTTTTCTCAGTCTACATGGTAGATGAGTAGGACTTTGAGATCAACACCCTGTCTGAGAGCCTCTCCTTTGGAGCTGGGTTGCTGGAAAAACAAGCATGAGCATCCACAGCTCCTTCAGATCTTGGCTGAGGGCCTGAGGGATAACCTGCTTAGCAGAGCCTGCTAGCTGCAGTAATTGCAGCTTCTCCCCTGTAGCTGTGAAACCAAAGCTTTCCTGTAAACAGTCTGCTCTGTGGACAGAAGCCCAAGGGATAAGGTATACTTCTGTCCCTTGAAGAAGAAATGGTGGAGGATATAATGTGGCCTCAGGGTGGAGGGGGCTTGGGCCTGAACTTTGTCAGGAGGCTTAGTTTCCATTCCTAAACCTCATTGGCTTACATGGGGTCCACCTTCACCCCTTTTAACTTCAAATTTATAGTCTTACTACAGAGTCCTGCCTTATACAGTAATTTCTTAGGAATAGGTTAATATAATGAAGTAGCACTGAAGAGCTGAGATTCTGGTCCTGGCTCTAACTGTTACTAGCGTTATGGTTTGGGGCAAACCATATAAATTCCCCGAGCCTGTTTGCCCATCTATAAAATGGGCATAATGATGCTTATGCTCTGCCTACTTCATAGGATTGTTGTGAGAACTGTGAAGTGCTGTGTACAAAGAGGATGATGATCCTGGAATTCTGTGAGCTGCTCATTGAAGTCTAGCTTTCTTGTCTTAATTGGACACTGGGCTGAGAGATGGGCCATGCCAAGCCATGAGTGGTCATTTCCAGTGTTTGAGAGCTAAGCCTTGGGTGAGCAGTAGGGTTTACGAGTTTGGGTTAGAGAGCACTCAATGATCGAGTGGTCCAGGACCCCTTCCTGCGTATTGTCTGCTGGTTTACACTTATAGGAGGTGTGAGGATTTTTATTCTGTGTTGCAGTTCATCTTTGCTCTTTTTTTTATCACCAGGAGGTTGAGTGAGGTGACGGGGAAAGGAGAGAACTGGGGGAAGGGCATAGGCAAAGGTGACTGCGTGGGGCAGTCAGAAGCTTTGTTATGTGGGAGCTACATTGATGGCATACTCCTCAGGAGAAGGGGTTGGAGGCCTGGTGATAGCTGGCAACAGCTTGGTGCTGTCGTGTGTCCAGTTTGGGAGCCATCAGGTAGCATGCCCTGCCCCCCTAATTGCTAACCCTCTGTCTGCTGCTTTATCAGACTACGCGTTTGTTCACATGGAGAAGGAAGCAGATGCCAAAGCCGCCATCGCGCAGCTCAACGGCAAAGAAGTGAAGGGCAAGCGCATCAACGTGGAACTCTCAACCAAGGGTCAGAAGAAGGGGCCTGTCCTGGCTATCCAGTCTGGGGACAAGACCAAGAAACCAGGGGCTGGGGATACGGCATTCCCTGGAACTGGTGGCTTCTCTGCCACCTTCGACTACCAGCAGGCTTTTGGCAACAGCACTGGTGGCTTTGATGGGCAAGCCCGTCAGCCCACGCCACCCTTCTTTGGTCGCGACCGCAGCCCCCTGCGCCGTTCACCTCCCCGAGCCTCTTACGTGGCTCCTCTGACGGCCCAGCCAGCCACTTACCGGGCCCAGCCCTCAGTGTCGTTGGGAGCTGCCTACAGGGCCCAGCCTTCTGCCTCTTTGGGTGTCGGCTATCGGACTCAGCCCATGACAGCCCAGGCAGCCTCTTACCGTGCTCAGCCCTCTGTCTCCCTCGGGGCCCCATATAGGGGCCAGCTGGCCAGCCCTAGCTCCCAGTCTGCTGCAGCTTCCTCACTTGGCCCTTATGGTGGAGCCCAGGCCTCAGCCTCGGCCCTCTCTTCCTATGGGGGTCAGGCAGCTGCAGCGTCTTCGCTTAACTCCTATGGGGCTCAGGGCTCCTCCCTTGCCTCCTACGGTAACCAGCCATCCTCTTACGGCGCCCAGGCTGCCTCTTCCTATGGGGTTCGTGCGGCTGCCTCTTCCTACAATGCCCAGGGAGCAGCTTCCTCCCTAGGTTCCTATGGGGCCCAGGCAGCCTCCTATGGGGCCCAGTCTGCAGCTTCCTCACTAGCTTATGGGGCCCAGGCGGCATCTTACAGTGCCCAGCCCTCGGCCTCCTACAATGCCCAGTCTGCCCCCTATGCTGCACAACAGGCTGCTTCCTACTCTTCCCAGCCTGCTGCCTATGTGGCACAGCCAGCCACAGCAGCTGCCTATGCCAGCCAGCCCGCCGCCTACGCTGCACAAGCCACTAACCCAATGGCTGGCTCCTATGGGGCCCAGCCAGTTGTCCAGACCCAGCTGAATAGTTATGGGGCTCAAGCGTCATTGGGCCTGTCAGGCTCCTACGGGGCTCAGTCGGCTGCTGCGGCCACTGGCTCCTATGGGGCTGCAGCTGCCTATGGGGCCCAGCCTTCTGCCACCCTGGCAGCTCCGTACCGCACTCAGTCGTCAGCCTCCTTGGCTGCTTCGTATGCTGCCCAGCAGCATCCCCAGGCTGCTGCCTCCTACCGTGGCCAGCCGGGCAATGCCTACGATGGGGCAGGTCAGCCGTCTGCAGCCTACCTGTCCATGTCCCAGGGGGCCGTTGCCAACGCCAACAGCACCCCGCCGCCCTATGAGCGTACCCGCCTCTCCCCACCCCGGGCCAGCTACGACGATCCGTACAAAAAGGCTGTCGCCATGTCGAAAAGGTACTGTATGCCCCCCCGCCTCTGCCCCCAGCTGGGGCTTAGGGCAAGGGGCTGAGGTTGGCAGGGGAGGGAAACTGGAGCCATTGGCCTCTCCTCGGTCTTGTCTTCTCTACTCCTGTGGGATGTCCAGAGGCTGAGGGGGTGGTTTCTGTGAACTGTTTTGGTCACCAGGGTTCAGGTGGAGCATAGCGCTCAGCCTGGGGCGGTGCCAACTAGTTGGCCTGGGAAGAGTCACCTGTCTAGGCTAGCCCAAGTGCCATTGGAGGTACTGCCTGCAGGATGTGACTTTATAGCCTTTCCCACCGTCTCAAGGATTCTTAAGCCTGTCACGTGGTTGTCCCGGCTTTGGCGGGGGTGGGTGTGAAAGAGTAATCCCTTTAGCACTCACTGGCTGAAGGCAGAGTGTATGAGGTGCGTCCACTCGGGGGGAAGCTGGGGACCTTGCTTTCGTCCGCCGTTCTGCTGATAAACAACCAGGGTCTTTCTGCGCAGGGCCCAGGGGTGGGCTAGTTTGCTTGTGGTTTGGGAATGGAGACCAAATCCACCTTGGCCAGTTCAGAAGGGTGGGCTTCTGTGGAGGGCTTGGTTTCCCACTGAGTTGAACCCAGGCTGGATTTCTTGGCCTGGATAGGGTGGTGAGCCTTCTGACAAAATCTTGTTTGTTGGAGACCAATCTGATCACACCCTCCCGATCCCTGTTGGCATCTCCCCCACGCCCACCTGGAGCCCTCCCCTCAATTGTCTCATTCACCAACTGTCTTCTTCTCTTGACTAGGTATGGTTCCGACCGGCGTTTAGCCGAGCTCTCTGATTACCGCCGTTTATCAGAGTCGCAGCTCTCGTTCCGCCGCTCGCCGACAAAGTCCTCGCTGGATTACCGTCGCCTGCCCGATGCCCATTCCGATTACGCACGCTATTCGGGCTCCTATAATGATTACCTGCGGGCAGCTCAGATGCACTCTGGCTACCAGCGCCGCATGTAGGGTCATCCTGGGATGGGCACCACAGGGAGGGGAGGAGAGGTGGGACAGGGCGCATACCCAGGTTATAACCACTTGGCCCATACCTCTCCCATCTGCGGTTTTTCATCCCCTCTGCCTGTGGGCCTTCCCTGGAGATGATCCTTTGGAGTGCTCAGCAGTAACCTACCTTGTTCCTTTGCCTCAGCAGCATATCTTGCCACTGGCTCTAGATCTGCGGTTTCCCCTCTCCCCTGCCTCCCATCTCTCCAGAATGGGAATTTCTTTTGTTTTTATTTTTTCCTGGCTCCATTTTATTTTTAATGCGCGATATTTAAGGTCGTCTGGATGGGGAAGCAACCTGCAGCTGAGGTTGGCGGCGCCTTTTTCTTTTTAGATGTGAGGGAGGCCAGGAAAGGGTTCGCTTAACCATTTCCTCTGCGCCAAGCTGTGCCAGCAGTCCAGGGGCCCTGACTTTGTCCCTTCGTAGACTGTTGAGACTGGATTCCCGTTGGAACAGTCAGTTGGTTTAGATCCACATCCCTACTGACCACTGATGTTCTAGCTGAGGTTGAACGGCACAGTCGCACTTCCCTATCTCCCCAAGTAGGTGGTGTTAGAAAACCTGAATTTCTTTTCCCTTTTGTATGGACTACAATAAAACTTGGGGCAATTTGCAGTTTGGAAACCTGGTTGTCATTGTCTTGATTGCACTCAAGTTTCAGAGGAGCCAGTTATGACATCCAGGAAGATGTGACAGCTGAGGGGAGGCAGCCAGAGAGCTCAGGGTGGGCGAGGAAAGACCTGAATGTGGGAATTAGAGTGATTTCCCTGCTGCCCAGAGGAATTTAACTCATCGTCGTCCCACTAGCCTGCCATCCGTAGGGTTGGAGAGTCCAGGCCAAGTTGCTTAGACTTCTCAGCCCTCAGCTTGACTTAACCACACGAAAATGCAGTAAACGTGTCGCCCATTTTCCTCTACCGATGCTTGACCATGTTTCCTGACTTGTCTCCTGTTGAGAAACAAACTGTGCTTACAGCGGGATGGTTCTGGGGTTTGGTTTCTCAAGTGAGGCAGCCAGCAGTGGGGAATGGGCTGCTCTGGTGCTTACGTGGGCTGGTGGGTCCTGCAGCCAGCGGGCCGAGTGAATGCTGCGGCTGGGGCCTGAACAGGGGCAGGGGTGATGTCAGCGTCTGGTACTGCCCTGTCTGGAGAAGGAAGGGACGGGGCAGTTGGAAGCAGGTACGGGGGATTCTGGCCATAGACCTAGTATTTCGCCTGTTGAACTTCACCATGGAACATCCTTTCTGTGTCCTGCCAACCCCTGCCGTCATCGTCACCTGAGACTCCTTTTCCTATCCCTGTTGGTTGGGCCTTTCAAATATCTTGCTGGGTTTGTATTTGAAATGTCACAGTAGACTCTGAGAAAGGAGTGGGGTGGAAGCATAACCAAGTAGAGGTGCTGGGGTTGGGTGAGGAATTAAGGATTCTTCCTATGCTTTTAGTCCAGAGTTGAGGGTTGAGAGAACCAGGGCAAAAATACATGGCTATTCCAGGTGGGGACAAGATAGAGGCTTGGGCTTAATGCTGGGTAAATGGAAAAAGACGGGTTGGGTGGGGTGGTAATAGGAAAATTTGTGAGTGTTCCTTTGGGTAAAGGGGGTTTAGAGGCTCTGGGAGGCTTTGAGGGCAGGGCAGCTTTTCGGGGGGTAATGTGTGAATCATGGAGTTCTGGTGGGTTCTCTTCTGCCTCCTTCACTGGCTTCCTGTGGTGAACTTGCTTGTGACAGGTAGTTTGCCCAGATGTCCTGTTCCCTCTGCCCAGTGGGCAAATGCATACTGTCTTTATAACTGAGCTCTTGCTTGTAGATGCTACGGGGAGCAACCTCAGGGAGTCCTGCGGCCATAGCTCCTTTGCTTCTCTTTCTGCTCAATGCTTTGCCTCCAGGTGTTTGCTGTTCCTTATCTTTCCTTTTGCAGGACTGGGGAAGAATGGGAGGGGGTGTTTGATAGGTTCCTTGTCATTTTCCTGCAGCGAAGATGGATGATTAGAGGGCCCAGCTAATAAGCCTACCTTTGGTTACTACCCTGGGAAATTGAGGGTTGATTGTAGGGCTGTGATTGTGGCCTGTGTATTTGTAATAGTTGTCAGTGTGGCTTTCTGTCATCTTCCTTTGATGGTTTTGCCACTGTCCCAGTCTCTGCGAGAAACAGCTTAATGTGCTCTCTGGGCCAGTGTTGATGTTTTTTCATTGCCGTCCAGGCTGTTAGTGACCTGGCCTTCACGGTCACTAAGTGCCTGTCATTTCTCGGTCCTGATGTCCCAACTGCCTCAGCCCTCAGGCTTATGCTTCAAGCCAGAAGGAGCTACAAAGTGAAATCTTTTGTAATTTTCTTTTCTCTTGCAGATTGTTTTAAAATCTCCCTTTCCTCTTTTTTAAATTATGCCACCTGTGTTAATTCTGTAGCCCACTCAGCATACTTTGCTTTTTGTGGATTTATGATTTCCAGGGTCCTGTAACTTGGGGGAAGGTTGGGGCGAGTGAATGAGAGGCCAGCTATTTAATGTGTGTTTTGGGGGAAAGGGGTGGGGGATATTGGCGTCAAGCGTACTTTCAGACTATTACAACTTCTACACCTATCATTTGGTCTTCATTGGAGAAGTTTTAAATGGTTTGTTCTTGGAACAAGACTAAGTAGAAGCTTCCAGTCTTCAGCAGCCTGCGTTCTCCTGAGGTTTGGACCTTGTTTCTTCTGGAGGTGATGGGACTGTCACTGAAAGGTCAGCCTCGGTGGGGAGGGTCCCTTTCTAGTCATGACGATTAGTTCAGCTCTTGCAAGTCTGTGCCCAGATGGTTCATTCTCCAGGCATTTTGCCCTAGGAAGCCCTATACAGCCAAGTGAGTGGACTAAAACATGGGATGGGTAAGGTCTTAATGAAAACAGATTTCCTAGATTTATGGACTAGTATGCTGTGCAGTAGGAGTTTGAGTAGTAGAGAAGATGAATAGCGTATGGAAAATTTATCTTCACCTAAACTATACAGGGACCTTTAAGGTTTTGAGAGGTTAGAATCTAGAGTTTTCCAGAAAAAGAAAGTGTTTTAGGTCTAGCTCTAAATCATTTGAAATATTGAGTCTGTAGGTTGTTATGACTCAGAAGCGACTCAATGGCAATGGCTTGGTTGGTTTGGTAGTGCTTGAAATGCAGTGCCCAGGTAGCCGAGTCCTTGGGTCGAGAACCTTGAGGAATTTACAGTCTGGGGAGGCAAGACCTGGCTTAGTGAACTAGTCAATAAGCAATGCGAGAAAGTGGTAGGTAAGAAAGGAGAGGATGGGCCAGTCCCAGTAGTTAGAAAACACTTTCTGGAGATGGGATTTGTTTGATTTCAAGACTGCCTTGGCACAGATAACGTGACTGAGACCCTTGGCTCTAAAATCAGATGTCCTGAGTTTGAATCCTGGCTCTGCCTCTTAGCTGTGCGATTTCAGGCACGTAAGGAACTCTGTCTCAGTATTTTCATTTATAAAACGGGGATAATAGCTAACATTTATTGAATGTACGCTAAAGCACTGTTAAAAGTGCTCTTCATATATTACTTAATCTTCATAGCAACCCAAATGAGTTAGGCATTACTGAACGTGTTTTACAAATGGGGAAATTGAGGCTATAGGTTGCTAACTTTTTTAGGGTCACATGGCTAGAAAGAAAGTGGTGAATCTAGGAACTGAACCAGCCCTTTCAGTCATGCAGGGCTTTGTAATCAGGCCCATGCTGCTGTTGGGAGGATCAAACGAGAACACACATAAGCCTCATGTAGTCACTGCTCATTAAATGCCAGCCATCTCATTATTAGAAACGAGTTAGAACATTCTGGGACAGTGGTTAAGAGCTTGGCTGCTAACAAGAAGGTCACCAGTTTGGATCCACCAGCTGCTTCTTGGAAACCGTATGGGGCAGTTCTGCTCTGCCCTATAGGGTCGCTATGAGTCAATTGACTCAATAGCAACTTTTTTTTTTTTTTTTAAGAGCAGCACCCAGCTGAGCATATGACTTTGGATCTAGGCGTGAGTTCGGCGCATGTGAATAACAATGAAGGTGGTGAATTGTAATGACTGGTACCTAGGAGTGACTACTAGGCCACTGGACCATACCAGTTGGAGCCACCCCCAATTTCAGGCAATTCTTGTAGGTATGGAAAAGAAAGTTTTCCTGTTCAGAGTAGGGACTTGCAGAGGCATTAAGGTTGGCTAAGAGAATGTAAAGGACCCCTAATGGTAGGCACTCGGCTGCTAACCGAAAGGTTGCTGGTTTGAACCCACAAGCTGCTCTGGGGAGAAAAGACCTGGCGATCTGCTCCCATAACGATTACAGCCTAAAAAACTATGAGGCAGTTCTACTCTGTCATACAGGGTCGCTGTGAGTTGGAATTGACTCCACAGCACACAACAAGCAGACGGTGTAGGAGTCCCTGGGTGGTAAATGAAAGGTTGGAGGTTCGGGTCTGCCCAAAGGTGCCTCAGAAGAAAGGCCTGGCAGTGTACTTCCAAAAAATCAGCCATTGAAAACCTTTGGAGCACAGTTCTACTCTGATACACGTGGGATCACCAGGAGTCAGAGTCAACTCAGTAGCCACTGCGGGGGGTTGGGGGAAGGGTGTAGCTGGCAATGTAAGTGGAGGCCTAGGAAGCCTTCTGCTTGGCTGGCCTAGTGGCTTTCTCTGAATGTCCCTGGAGAATACTGGCTTTTCATTTGGGCCTTTATTAGAACAGTAACTCATTTCTGGACCAGAAATCAGAGTTTCTTTTATTTATATAAATTCAAAGGACAACTTCTCGACATGAAATTAATACATAATACTTATGTCTAAGTAGTTTTCACTGACATCAGTGTTTACCCCTAAATTTGGATTTTTCCCTCATTTTTCTGCTTTCAAGAGTCTAGGGGCTCTCTCAATTATACACAACTATATTACCCCCCCTTTGTCCAAAATTTGCAGCCAGAATATAATATAAATTTATGCTGGGCTCTGGCAAAACCTGGTTGACTTTGGAAAGTCACTTTACCTTTCAGAGGCTTGGTAACCTGGTCACCAAATTAATCCCAAAACGGCATCTACAGTGTTCCAGACAAGGTGATTTCTAAACATTCCATTCAGTCACATTCTCTGTACTTGAAGTGGAGACTAAGGTAGAGGATTTGGACCAGATGTCTTTAATTGGCCTTTCCAACTCGTAATTGCAACAGCTTATACTTCTTTAGGTAAAATACAGTTGAGTGGAGACACTACAAATCTGCCTTATGCTTCATTTTGCTGCATTTGTCAGGCTGTAATGCTAGTGAACGCAAGTTGTTAGCATAGGTTACCTCGTGATTTTGGGGCACCTGCATTTTTGTTTGAGGGAGACTGGAAAGTATACTAGGTGATATATAGGTGAAGGTACTTATTTTCAGTACTACTAAGTGTCCAGATTCCTTAAGCTGGTATTGACTGAAAAACCTGTCCTCTCTTGGTTATCAAGAGCGAGCATAATTATTTACAGGGAGGTGAGTGGCAGAAAATGAATGAACAAATAGAATTTCAAGTAGTGGTAAGTACTTCGAAAAAGACAGTGGAGTCGTGGGGATAGAATTCCAAGGTATAGGGCTGAAGTGGGGGATGTCTTTTAGGTGGGGTAGCCAGTCTGAATGAGCTTGGGACAAAAAAAAAAAAAAAAAAGGCCATTTGTCTGGAGCGTATTGGGCGTGGGGATTTTAAAGAGATTGGGAGACTCCAGCAAGAACCTAATTGGGTTCTTAGGGTTCAGGGAGACGAGTTTTGAATTTTTTTCCATTTGCAATGGGTTTTAAAAAGCGGGGATGATGTGTTGCGGTTTACTTAGTTGGATACGCTTGCAAAGTGATAATGAACATAACTCGACCTAGTGATATTTCAGGAGGCAAATCAAGTGATTAGACTTTTTGGGGGGTGGGGAGGTCAGTTGTCTTGATGTCTGCACACTGACTTGATCTGTGATCCTGAGAAGGTTTATATTCCCAGTCTCTCTCCTTCAGACTGAGGGATAACTAGTTTTATAGCATGAGTGGACTTCGTATGCTTTTTTATTTTGGAAGAAACCTTATCTCCAGGGCTGTGGGACATAAAAAATTTGGAAGCTCAAACCGAAAGGAGCGGAGAGGTTTTTACAGAGCTGATACGCTTCCCTGTGCAGGTTGGTTTGTGACCATTTCCTGATGCTGGCCCCCTTAAAAGGGGACAAGGAGCTGATTCTGTAACATGAAATTGCTTTTCTTCATCACTGATCCTGTGCCCTTTACTCCCTGTCAGAGGTGCATTAGCATCCACAATGAAATGGACAACACATCTGTAAATATTTTGACTTTTTTTTAGGTCCTCATCTTTTTCCACTGTAGGAAAAGCTCTTGACCAGTTTTCTTCCATTGGATTCCTGAATCATACCAGGTTTCCAAACCCACTTTTTTCTGGCCTCACCTCTCTCTCTACCACTCCCTGCCAGCCCCTACCCCCTTTGAAGAAGGTAGTATGTTCTGCCAGTAGTGTCTCGACTCCTGATGATGATCCCTTTCCTCATAAACAATTCACTGCTTTTAGCTTGTTTTGTTCGTTTTTTAAGTTTTTCCATCCTGCACCGCTCCCCTTCTAAAGGTTTGCAGAGTCTTCTTGACTCTAAAATTGCTTGTTCAGTGAATATGGGATTGTGCCAAGAAAGTATCGGAAGAGAAAGAAAATGTGATGAGGGAGCCAGAACCTCTGGAGAACGTTGATTGTACTTTGTTCATGGCGGATTGTGACTTGGCTCTTCCCTCTAAGGTCGGTTGTAGAGGTTTAAACCTACAGCTCTGGCTGATGGTGCCCAATAAAATAAAAACAAAACTTTGCTGCTCTAGTTTTTTCTCGGGGCGGGGCAGGGGAGCCGTTTTCAACTTCAGTGTTCACACCGAGTAGCCATCTCTTCATCGTGGACCCCGGGAGGCTGATTCCTAGAGGACTTCTCAGCGCTTCCTGGGTAATGCTGTCTTCCACTGAGCCATTGTCCCCTAATCATCGAGGCTGGGCCCACGAGTCGATCTGAGTTCCTTCCACACTATGAAAGTAGCTTTAATGGCTGGGACTCTCCGGGGGTTGGGGTGGGGGGTATCTCAAGGCTACAGTGTATTCGGCAGAGGAGGCAGCTGGTTTCTTCAGCTGGGGAGTTTCGCAGTTTCCTCACCTGGCGTCTGTGTCTGGCGGAAGCCATTGTTCGCACTGCCTGGCGCGAGGGGGCTAGTGTGTAGGACTTCAGGGGGAGACGTTTGGAGTAGACGGAATCGTAGAAGGCAAAATGGAGCGCTGAATACTGTCAGGATGTGGAAGTGGCTAAATGTGGGATCTTAACAAAGTTGGCGCTACGAAGCTGAAGCTTGCCACACCGGAGCCCCGGCTCTAGCGTCCTAATGGCGGGCCGCACCCCACCGGCGGAGCGCACGTTCGTAGTTCCTCCCCTACGTCGTCCCCTTATCCAATCCGTGACTTCGGTTTCGCAAGCTTGGTACTCATAGGTTTTCATATAAAAGCTCCAGGGTTACTGACGTTTCCACCTCTTCCCGGCCTCTCAGGTAATTGACTCTGGTGTTAGCCAATCAGGAAGTGGGTCTGCGGGAACGGCTGCCTCTTACTTTATTGAGCGGCCAATCCAGTGGTAGGTTCACCTCCCCTCTACCCAGAGTCACTGCTGCGGCCGTCGCCATTTTAGCGTTTTGTCAGTAGCGTCCGCGCCGCGAGGGAGAGCGCTTGCAGGTTTCCGCGTGCGGGTGAGCTATTTCGAGCCCCTCTACCCCTTTTCTTTGGCCCTGTAAACTCTATTTCACGTTCGAGGGTAATGTAGTGGGGTTGTGGCCTCCGCGCCCGTCACCGAGAGCCGACCTCAGTGCGGCATTGCGCGCCAGCCTGGAGCAGCCCTTCCCCCACGGCCTCCCCCGAGAATACTTTGCTTTCCCCCCCAGCCTGCTCTTCACCCAGCTTGGCGCAGCTTCCCGTCTCGAGGTCTCGGCCGAGATAACCGCGCTTCTCGTAGATTTAGGAATTGCATCCTCGTTTGGAAAAAAATTCAGGCCTTCAGACCTCGTTGTCTGAAGCTCCCTTTTCTGGCTACTCATTTCTCCATTCTGCAGGACCTCGTACCCCGAGAGGATTCCCCCACTCCGACACTATCCCCTGCTCTCCACTCCTCCCTCTCAGGCCCGACTCGCGGGTTCGTTCGCTACTTCCAAGGAAAACTAAAACGTAGCTATCAAGGCCCACTTTTCCGGAAATGGTGGCTGCTGTTTCTGATAGTACGAGAGGAAGAAGTCAATTCAAAATTTAAGCGAATTAGACAGCCAGCCTAGTAGTTAGACCTTTATTTTCTGATTGTACTTGTAGCGGTTAGAAAAGTCTAGGAACCCCAGCTCGTTGTTTGTGCTCTCACTTTTCTGAATCCAACTCTTACCAGTCTCTTTGTTTAATAAGGGATCTCTCTGTTACAGATATTTTCTTATTCTTACAGGCTCAATAGTGGGCACCGTACCAGGCCTCCATATACCAGTCTCACATCCGTTTGATGATTGTGTGGAGGTGTGGGTATGTGTGAGGGAGGAAATCGGAGAAGTACGTTAGAGCGAAAGGCATTGGCGGGGTTTTGTTGTTGTTTTAAGTGGGTGCCCTAAGGTCTTTGTTAGAAATCTTGTTTTTTCTCTCCCAGGCTGTTGTCAGGATGGTGAAGCTGTTCATCGGAAACCTGCCCCGGGAGGCCACAGAGCAGGAGATCCGCTCACTCTTTGAGCAGTACGGGAAGGTGCTGGAATGTGACATCATTAAGAACTACGGCTTTGTGCACATAGAGGACAAGACGGCGGCCGAGGATGCCATACGCAACCTGCACCATTACAAGCTGCACGGGGTGAACATCAACGTGGAAGCCAGCAAGAATAAGAGCAAAGCTTCAACCAAGTTACACGTGGGCAACATCAGTCCCACTTGCACCAACCAAGAGCTTCGGGCCAAGTTTGAGGAGTATGGTCCTGTCATCGAATGTGACATCGTGAAGGATTATGCCTTCGTACACATGGAGCGGGCAGAGGATGCGGTTGAGGCCATCAGGGGCCTTGACAACACAGAGTTTCAAGGTGAACCATCCTCTTTGAGTAGAGGACTGTAAGAGGGCTGAACACAAGGCCATGTGCAGAGAATAGGTTGGGTTACTAGAGAAAGGAGTTGGAGTAGACATAACAGCAGTTGGCTAGTGGTGAAAGATCAAGTTTGGGTGATGGCTTTAAAATGGAAAATGCATGGGATTTAGATGCTCCTGTAGGAACACTGCTTGCTTGGCTTTGGTTTGGAGCCCCTAAGGCTTTTCTGTTTATCAGTGCAGAAATCTTTGCTTCTGGAGACTTCCCAAGTTGTTTTCCTTTTTTTTTTCTTTCCCCTAGTAGCGTAAGCTTATTGCCGAGTGCTTTGTTATGAATTTAGTTAGTCTCATTGTGATATCAGCATTATACGTTATTTTTAATGTGAAGAACCCGGCAAAAGCAGCTTACGCAACACATCTTGGAGCAGAATCCCAGTTAAGCTTTCCTCATCCCACCGCAATTCATTATTTCTTTCTAGTAAAGATAACTAGTGGCTTTAAAGGGCTATAGCCCTTGTTGCTAGCCATTGTTGCTTTTTGTATTATGCCTGTACCAAGACGTTCTATTTCAAGGACCAGGCTACTCTAGTATTAAAGCTGATTTTAGGAGTTTCTTGGAAGAAGGTGTTGGGATTTGGGGGGGCAGTAATAGCAGTGCCTTTTAATTGATTTGGGGGGGTGGTCTTTAATATTGTTGGTGAGTAGAGGACTTACGTAGATGGGACTTATCTTGGAGTAAGGCCTGTTATTGTGCCTGGAGGGCAGCATGGATGATGTGGATTGTCACTTTATTTGGAAGATACCATTTTTTCTTGATTTAAGATCTACAATTCCTGTGGCAAGAGTGGCAGTTGTGAAGGGGTGATAACCATGGTGAGTTGCCTGCTAAATTCACCCCCCTTGGGATGTCAGAAAGAGTCGTTTCCCTTTGGTTGTAGTTACTACCAGATTATAGAATAGTGGCACAACTCCTTGCTACATTTTTAACCGAGATTCCAGCCTTACTGAAATGAACAAGGTAGTGGCCGCTTCTGTTCTGAGCACTCCCCTTGTTAAGGGTCACTGCTGCTGTCCTCAGTGTTTATTTTCCTTAAATTGGGCCTTATACCTGGAGGTCTGATCATCATGTCCCCAAGTAATTGGTGTTCTGTGTCATGGGTATTGATGTGTAAAGAAAAGCGTCACAGGTCTTTCAGGCCTAGTTTGTTTTCCTTTTTCAGTTGGCCGGTTGAGAATTATTTTGTCAACAACTTAATTGGGAGCAAAAGCTGTTCTTGTGGAGGGTTTGTGGTATATCTTATTTTTGCATACTCTTCCACACTTTAATATGTCTAAGGGGAGGACAGTGTGGACTGATTCAAGAGAAATTATTCTCGTAGTATAACTGGGCATCTGAACTCTAGGTCTCCGATGCTGCCGATACTTAATTATTTTTGCCCTATTTTCATTTGTATTAGCCATTCTCTTTTCTTAATACTGTTTACTATGTATATGTTGAGCAGTATTAATCAGTGTGGTCTTTCTTTTCTCCTCGTCTTTCAGTTTCGCAGTGCTGGGTATATTCTCCATCATCTCCAGGCCATACTTCTTATTTGTCCATTTAAAGAAAATCTATTTTAGTTCCTAAACATTCAGCTTTTTTTTTTTTTGCATCATTAGGATTGTTAAATTCTTAGGTCGTCTGTTAGTGACCTTTATGTCTTGAATTTACATGGTTGGTTTCTTGCTTGCATTTGTTTTCATAGGTGCCAAAGTGGCCCTGTGGGCAAATGCCAGAGGGACACAGGCTAGTACTGTAAGCCACTGAAGTACTTAGTTGCATATCTTAGCTTTTGATAAGCTGTAACCTAAACAACCAGGACTTTATTATGTTGGTCTCTCCATTCCTTTTCTCTTGTTGTGTTTTCTAGCCTCCCTAACCTAACTTTAATTTTGCAGGTAAAGTTGCGTATTTACTGCTTTTTCTAAGTTAGATGAGTAGATGACCTATCCGTTGACTCTCCCCTGTTCTAACTGTTCAGTTCTTTGACATCAGCATGTTTGGGTGCATCGCTGCCATTTGCATTGGAAAGCTTTTGCTGGCTTTGGATCCCTTCTGAAATTTGCTTACAAGTAAACTGGTAGATTGTGTTAGGTAGAAGGTACCTCTATGAACAAGTTTAAAACTTGTGAATTTCTGCTTTTCTATTGTAAATGGCTGCTCTTTTTGTTAGATTTTTCTGAAGTGATTTTCATTTCCAGAATACAAATTAAAATAGTATTAAATGCATGTTAAGATTTCAGATTCCTAGTATAAGGAGAAAAAACACTTTAATGCTGCTAAAATGGCAGTGTGGTCTGCTGACTAATATTACTGGTTAGTCTCCATTTTTTCTCATTCCTCTTTTTTTTCTGTGTTTTTCATAATAGTCTCCTTTCTAAAAATTCAAGCATCTTGTGAACTGCCCTGTTACCTTTCACCCAACTAGGGATCACTAAAGTTAGCTGTCAGATTATAAAGAATCCTCATTAGAATGGATATCAGAATAAGCAATTTTAAGCATCCAGTTAAGAGGGAAGGCAGTCTTTCAACTTGTATTTGCTGCCTCCTCCCCCCACCCCAAATTCATGAGTGTATTTTTCCAAATATCTACCTTGAAACTGGCTGACCGCACTTCAGCCACTCTGTCAGTGTTAACTTTAGAGTCTCATTCCATTGTCTTGCTTTTTGGGGGAGAAACTGACCTTTTGCATTCTCCGGCTTAATGAAATCAGAACCTTGATAGTGAAGATTGAATTGGAGGTGTCAGAACTTCCTGTGGTTTCTGTTGACATTGGACCACTGTCTGGAGTAGATTTTTGCCTACACTTACTTGGCAAAGGATAAAATGCTTGTTTTTGAATATGAGTAGTTCTTTTCTTAAGCATTGAACTGATGTATAGCTGAAATAGTTCTTCATCGGACTGGTCTTTGCCTGAAATCAGGTCATTATACTGAAGCTGTATGTTGGCATCTTCCCCCCACCCCCAACCTTTCGGCAATTAATTAGTCCTGCATTGGAGTTGTCTAGGTAAATCCATTACTACGATCGGTGTCTGGGGTAGGGGCCGGGGCTGTGACTCAGAGTGATAGCAACCCTTCTTGCGTCTGTTTCTTCAAGGCAAACGAATGCACGTGCAGTTGTCCACCAGCCGGCTTAGAACCGCGCCCGGGATGGGAGACCAGAGCGGCTGCTATCGGTGCGGGAAAGAGGGGCACTGGTCCAAAGAGTGTCCGATAGATCGTTCAGGCCGCGTGGCAGACTTTACCGAGCAGTATAATGAGCAATATGGAGCAGTGCGTACGCCTTACACCATGAGCTATGGGGATTCGTTGTATTACAACAACGCGTACGGAGCGCTCGATGCCTACTACAAGCGCTGCCGCGCCGCCCGGTCCTATGAGGCAGTGGCGGCTGCAGCTGCCTCCGCGTATGATTACGCAGAGCAGACCTTGTCCCAGCTGCCACAAGTCCAGAACACAGCCATGACCAGTCACCTCACCTCCACCTCTCTCAATCCCTACGATAGACATCTGTTGCCGACCTCAGGAGCTGCTGCTGCCTCAGCTGCTGCTGCAGCAGCAGCTGCTGCTGCTGTTACTGCAGCTTCCTCTTCATATTACGGGCGGGATCGGAGCCCCCTGCGTCGCGCTACAGCCCCAGTCCCCACTGTTGGAGAGGGCTACGGTTACGGGCATGAGAGCGCGTTGTCCCAAGCTTCGGCAGCCGCGCGGAATTCCCTGTACGACATGGCTCGGTATGAGCGGGAGCAGTATGCGGATCGGGCGCGGTACTCAGCCTTTTAAAGCTTGAGGTGAGAGCTGTGGGATCTCCCCGTTCTAGTTTGCTATCCCTCCTGCAACCTAAGGGCTCCCGTTAGGCTGCCCTGCTTGCTTGCTTTTGCGGGGTTAGGGTGAGGTTACTAGCTTGGTTCAGAGGCTAAGGAGAAGTCATAACTGCCTAATTTTTTGAGATATATAAAAATTCTTGGCCCTCATGGCCATTTTTCCAGGGCTCCTGGTAGTAGGAGTTGATCTGATTCGATTTGTGCCTGGAAAAACAAAACAAAACCAGGAATGGTGTGCTGTAATTGAACTGAACCTGGGACCCAGGCATTTAGACTCAGGTGTGCTGTTTCTCAGAACCTTTGTTGAGATTCCTAGGTGTGCAGTATTACTGAGGTCTCCGTTTCCTGTTCTACTTCTTGCTATGTGAACGGTCTCGTTTGACCTGTAATGAAAAAATACATACCTGTAGTTAACTGGTCATCACTGCTTAGGTCCCAGTTGCTATGAAGACTCCCAAAATGACATCATCTTATTCTTGGAGAGTACTGACATTTCTGAATAGTTCAGTCTCTGTGAGGTTTGTAGAAAGAACTTATTTGATGGTAAGTTGGGGTAGAGAGGAGTAGAAAAAGTATCTTTTATAAAACTGAGTTCAATAAGACTGTAGAACCCAACTTCTCTGCTCAGCTCAGATTCATTCCCTGAATAGAGTCCTACCCCATTGCTGTATCATCACATCTGTCCCTTAAGAATCTGTTAAGGGTTCAATCTGAGTTCAGCTTTTTTTTTCCCCTTCAAACTTCCCACAGTGCTACTAGATTTGACATCCTCTCTAGTTCTTCAAGGTATATGGTGATTAAAATGAATAATGCACACACACCTGTTAACTTTTATTCTTTTTGATAAGGTTGAAATCAGGGTTGGGAGCTTTGCCTTAAGCAGATCACTCCCTTCATCTTCCCATTAGTCACTAACGGGCGTTTAATACTCTTGAACCACCAGCTCTACCTTGAGTCCTCTGGCTTTTCCTCTGCCATATATTTTGAGCCTCATGGTCCATTTGGCTCTACTTGAATATACTCTCTTCTGTTGCTTGCCAGCTTTGGGCTCTAGGTGTTTGAGATTGCTATTGTACTAAAGGAGGATTCTCAATGCCCTTTGTTTTGAGTAGCCCCCGTTGTGACCCAGACATTGCCATTTATCCTTTATCCTGTAATAACAGGGTGGGTGATAGTCTGTCATCTTTTCAAGTAGGACAGAGTATGGCCATTGGATATAAAATCACTGACTGGGCTAGGAAAAACAAACTTGAATGACTTGTTGTGTAGCTTACACATGCCTTCCAGTACCTTCTTTCAAAAGTTACTATTTTCCTTAGGCAGAGTTAGATGCCCTGTGGTCTTACAACTTGTTCAGTTACAACTTTTGCCCAGAACTTGAATGATTTTTAATTTAGACCTTGGTAGTAACCCCCAGATTAAAACATACTGTTGACTTTTTACACCAGAGAGCTTAACTGGAACTTTTCTCTCTTTTCCTCGGATGACAATTGTGATGTTGAACTACCTTCTGAGAAGTGCTAATGTTAACACCAAGACCAATGGAGGCAAAGAAGTTTCTGAAAGAAGATTTGCTATTTAATTAGAGAAAGGCCCCAGTCTGGGATTGCCTAACCTTCCCAGTTACTCTGGCCTTCAAGCTTTTTTCCATTTTTGGAGGTTATTGTGATACTAGGGATGGGTGTAAGTAAACTTCATAGGAGTGTCAAGTTACCAGATTTTGTAAAGATATTCTCTGAAGTTTTGAGTGAGAAAGCCCTTTTGAGCTCTGCTGTAAAGCCCCTGTATTGTGCTCTCTTTCAGGTGGGATGTGTGGGGGCTGAAATTCCGAGCTGCGGTTGTGCATGAGAATACACCTTTCGTGGTACCCTGTCTCCGGGACGTTCTCGGCTCTGTGCGTTCAGTCCCTCAGGAACCGTGGACCTTAATTTACTTGTTAAGTTCAGACCCTCTCTGCCTTGCCTTTCCTCTCTCCTGCCCATTTACCTGTTCTTCAATACGTAGCTTCCTGTTCGTGTTCTGTTCTCCTGCAGGCCTCACTGTGTACAGAAACTGGTGGGGGTTGTGCTGTCTCCTCCCTGCCTCCTGCTTCCAGTGGGTGTTGGATATGGGAAATAACCTTGGTGAGAGTGTCACTGCTTCTGGGTCTTCTTTCTGGCCCAAAGGCTTGTGGCAGGTAGACGTATAGAGTTGGATCACTTTTTTCTTTCCAATAAAATAAATGGTTTTTCAACTTAGGGTATGTGTGTTTTGAGAGAATTCTTGCTTGGGCTTATTTCTGGGTGTTTATTTGTACCTGGGAGAGAAGGGGAGGGTATAAAGTTTAAGACATTTAGCTTTGGGTGGACACTGGTACAGTTATTTTCTTTATTGGAGATAGGATTTACAGGTGCCAAAGGAAAAGAGGTTAGAACCAGGAACCCAGGCAGGCAGCCTTATTCCAGTAAGACTTCTCCCACTGGTCCACCTTTGTTACAAAACAACTACTTACTAGTAGCGTAGAGAGAAAAGTCTCCCTGCTGGAGAAACAGTCATCACCCACCCCTTGTGACTACCATTTCAGTCACCCACTCAGTTAACACGTCTAGCTTATTTCCAGGGAAGAGGTCTAGGAAAAGGGTATGTGGGAAGAGATTTGCTTCCTCAAGTGGGCAGTGGTTTTTTTCATGTCTTGTGGGAAAATGAAGCCGTGGCTCCAGCAGAGCATTCTGCTGCTTCTCTAGGCCAATAACACCTTTTGATGACTTAAACCATCTATTTGTATAGCTCTGCCAAAATCCAAAGAATATCTGAATGCACCTCAGTACTGACAGTGTTATGGGATGGAAGACCAGTGGTGAGCTTTAGACTAGATTATTGAGTGGTAAGGGTGGGGGCTGAGTGCAAGGAAGAACTACCACACTGTTTGTTTCTAGCAAAATAGATAAGTGCGTGTCTTCCAGATTTTTTTTGTCTATTTCAAAAGCGTTTACTCCTATTTCAACATACAGGGCAGTGTCAATTTAGGACTTTTCCCAGAAACATTCACTCAACAAATACTGAGCACCTACTGTATGCAGGCGTTAAGCTTTTAGAAAAGGGGTGGTGGTGGGAGGTTTTAAAAAAAAGATCTTTAGTTGAGTAATTTCTCAGATCTTTCTGCTTGACTGAGCCTTCCTTAATCCATAGATGGCTGACACTGGAGATGGCTCTGTAACTGATAACAGCATGTAGTTCATTGAACACGTGAGGCGCTTAGCAGGTGTTTTACGTGTTAACTCATTTAATTCTCCCAGCAACAATTTTTCTATTAAAATTTTTTATCCTGCCCCCCTTCCCCCCATATATAAATAATTGCTGGACATGGAAGCTGGTTTTGGTGAAAGATCAAGATTAAGATGAGCATTCCAGGAATTTATAAGGGATTCGGGGTGGGGGTATAGCTGTTAGCTCTTCGAGATAGAAAGTTGTTAGCAACACAAATAATTTACTTCTATAGTAGGTCCTTTCCCTGCATTTGTCTTTTTTTTCTTCCCCCCTTCCTTCCTAGCTGGGCTGGTTTTCTTTACTACTGCTGCTTCTCTTGGAGGGTTGTACCTACTTCGTTCCCTTTTTTCGGACTCACTGTTGAGCTACACTTTTAATCAGTATACCCTTTGGTCTGATGGTGGAGCTGGCAACTTTCAAAGGGTGGAGACTAACTGTTCACTGAGTCAACAAATATTTTGAGTCTGGAGCTTATATCTTTGTAGGGGAGGCGAATAAGTACATAATGTCAAGTGGAGAGTTCTGTTTAGATGGATGGTCAGTGAAGGCTTTTCTGAGGTGCTGAGATGTCTCAGATTGACCAAAAACTCGCCGTTGAGTCAATTCCGACTCTGTGATGCTATAGGACAAAGTAGAACTGCCCCGTAGGGTTTCGAAGGCTGTAATCTTAACGGAATAAGACTGCCACATCTTTCTCCTGCCGAGCAGCTGGTGGATTCAAACCACTGAACGTTCTGGTTTGCAGCCGAACGCCTAACTACTGCACCACCAGGGCTCCTAGTAGATTGAACGGGTAGAATGATGTATTTTTACATTATAAAACTAGCTGGTTAAAATTAACTCCTTGATGCTATTAAAGGGAGTCATTCTTGCTTTCTGCTTTAAGAGCCTGATCTCCCTGTAAGAGACGAGCAGTTTTTCCATGGCTGCCAGATTCTAGGCTGGCTTAATGCTACGTTCATGATGTAGCTCTTTTTAAGTTCACTGATTACTGAAAGGAAAAATATTAAGAAAATGGAAAAATAGTGAATTCTAAAATTTAATTTTTCTTTAAGAGGTGATTTGAAAGGCTTTAAGTCACTGATTGCTCAATATTAAAATTTAGGTCTTGACATTACTACTTTTTAAGTTTCCAGTCAGGTGTTACCTCTTGAGGCCAGACAGTCTGCTCTGTGTAATTGATGAGGTTCTACTGCTATCACCTACCTCAGGTGTGATACAGTAGTTTTTCAAGAGTAATAATAATACCTTTTAATATATTGGTTTTCCATAGTCTTCCAGCATTTGTTATTCTGTTCAGTAAAGTGTGATTAACATTTACATGAGTGCTGGGTTTGCAGTTCGCTCAGAACTTGCTGATTGTCTGCTATGTTTAAGTCAATCTGTGGAGAATACAAAGATGAATAAGGCATGGTGCCTGTATTAGGGTTCTCCAGAGAAACAACTAAGAGGATATATATATAGAGAGAAAGAAGTAAGCAATTCACTCACATGATTGTGGGGGCTGGCAAGTCTGAAATCCTTAGGTCAGGCAGGGTGGAAACTGATAGGATATCTATATTATAGTCTTGAGGTGGAAGCCTCAGTTTATGCTCTTAAGGCCTTCAACTGATTGGATTGGGTCTACCAACCTTATTGAGAGTAATCCTTTTTGCTTAGAATTAACTGATTTTAAATGTTAATCACATTAACAAAATATCTTCACAGCAACATCTAGTGTTTGACCAAATACCTGGGCACTGTAGCCCAGCCGAGTTGGCACAAAACTAACCATCACAGTGCCTGTCCTCACCTTGACTCTACAAGATGGTTTCCGTTGGTCTTGGGTGTGCGGATAACTGATGTATCCCTGGAAGTCTGGAGGGGATGGAAATGGTCACTATTCTGTTGTGATTTCTAGCCCAGCCTGACTCTGGGAGTGTCAGAGGACTTACGAGGGCAAGGTTTTCAGGTTGATCTTGGGGTTTGATTTTGGTATTAGACTGCATAACTTTGACTTAAAGTCTTCCAGGCACCCCCTAAATTGAGGCTGACGTGGGTGAACGCTGAGTTAATCAGGCTCCTTACCCTAGAGCAGCATCAGTACTAAACTGGACCAGGGGGATCGAGTAATGAGAAGTAGACCATTTGAACTGTGGCGGTGAGTGCTGCTTCAAACTACTGGAGTCAGGTTTGCTCAGTACTGAGTTCCTGACACAGTCTCAAGCAGAGGCAAAGGACATCCTAGAATGATGACCGCGAGAAGTCCCAGAACTGCTCTGCTGTTGGCTTGGAGAGCAGTAGTCCAGGAGAAAGCTGAGTTCCAGGAGGGGATGTCTCCAAGACAAATACTGTGTGTGAATATGTGGATGGAATTTTCTGTTCATTTGGAGAGTTTGGGGGCTGAATTACTGACAAAACCAAACCTGTTGCCATTGAGTCAATTCTGACTCATAGCGACCCTGTAGGATAGAGTAGAACTGCCCTGTCCGGAAGCAGACTGCCACATCTTTCTCCTGCAGAGCAGCTGGTGGGTTCGAACCGCAGACCTTTGGTTGGCAGCTGAGCACTTAACCACTGCGCCACCAGGGCTCCTTGAGTTACTGATGCATAGACAATAAGTGAAAAAGTATGGTAAATATTAACTCCAGAGTAAATAAAAATGTGCAGTGAAATGCAACTATGTGGCTCAATTGTGAATGATATTACAGAGGCAGCACTGAAAGGGAAACAATTATGATCTGATTAAATTGGGAGGATGAGGGAGGGGAAGTGCGGATGGGTGGAGCAATGTGTGTAAGAGCAAAACCTCCCTGTTCCATAATAGAAATCAATAGGTAATTCCTGGAAGTGGTAAGTGGAGAACTATGGGCGTTGTTTTCAGACGCGTAAAGGTAAGGAACAGCTGAAAAGAGCTAGCATCACTTGCCTCTGGGAAGGGGGCGGCAGGGGACTTTTTAAAGCCTTGTGTTTGCTTTGTTAAACCATACTCATGTAATATTTTGATAAAAACAACATTTTGTCATGCTAACAGCTCTCTTTTCTGTCTTAAGCCAGATGATGATGGTTTAATAGAGAACCTTCCAACCTCTCACCAGATGCAGAACTTCTGACAGGAGTAGACTGGTATTACTTCATGGCAGGTATATAGCACCCTAAGATGTGAGGCAGGGGTGGTGCGCCCAGCCTGTCAAGGAGATAAGACACAAAAGGAGGCAGGGCTTAGCTAGTGAGAAGAACCATACAAGCTGAATTGAGTGTTTTATCACCGCTGTTTGACTTGGCAAGGCCAACAGAGGGGTGTTGAGTATCTGCTCTGTCCGCCAGGGCTTGGTTCTTCACTAAGGCCCAAACCTACATGTTTCCTTCAGTACCTCCGTGTCCAGCATTGTTTTGCACTCAGTTACGTGACAAAATGAGGCCTCTCTGAATTTCATTATGTAAGGAATATTGACCCTGAGCTTAAGAGTTGAGAGCTTCCTTAGTATAGAACTTCCAGTCTAATCCAGGCTAGCGCAAGGGGAAGGAAAATGCCTTTTACCTAGGGGTTTGAGCTGAACT